CAGTATATTGAACCTTTTCCCCCTATTGAACAAACTTGCTGTTGCTTGATTAACAACAACTACAACAACAACAACAACAACAATAATAAAATTAACTTGTTCATGGCATCGCAAATGCATGTAAAAAGTCCTGAAATCAGAGGGAGACCGTTATGGATTCATAAGGAATGATAGTGTACATCAGGTGATACCATGATGGTACTTCGCTAGGAAATTTGAAAGATCATATGCAATGCTAAACGAGGTTATTTTTGAATGAAATCCTCACTTCCTTTTGGACTTGCTGAAAGGTTTTTGGTACATTTTTGCCATAATTTCTATTACTTTGTCATCTTGGCTTATTCAGGCAAGTCCGGCACTATCTTGATATATTTTCACTTTAGATTGTGTTTTGCAGTAAAGTGAAATTTGCTTATTGAATTGAATCCTTACCTGTTATGTTTTGTAAATTTACTGCAGAACCAATTCTTACATTGGGAAGCACGGAGTGTATCACATGGGAGGATAACTGGACAACCCTGACAGCTGATGGCAGCCCTGCTGCGCAATTCGAGCACACAATTTTGATTACAAAAACTGGCGCAGAAATCTTAACAAAAGCTTAGATGAATCACTCATGATTCATTTTGCACACTTCATTTCTTCTACATGTAATGGAGGAAATAAACTCCTGCTCCTCCATTAACTTGAGATCCATGGATCTCATATACAACCCTGAGATGGCAAAAGCATTAGGCCTTGAGTGATGATCCCAGTTTTGATCACATCAACACCATTTATAGAACTCTGCTGGCAGCTAAGCAATTATCGGGACATCGTTCACCAGATATGTTGCCTGGTCAAAGTAAAGGTACAGCATTGTTACCGGCATGTCAATGGCCATTGCCGGAGCTGGTGAAATTGGGATATAAATGTTTGCAATTTGTGAGAAATTCTTAAGGCTGTTATACATGGCAACGAACAGTACATGATTTATATGTACAGAAAACTTTTCTTGTACTATTTAATCATTTGAATAATTGTAGCTCTTTAATATACATTTTAATCTGATGATCCTAACAAACATTGATGTTGCTTCTGCACAGTGCTCAAGATTTTAGCATCGATACCTAACAAATATGTCTTTTGTTGTGAAGGTTCTGATTGATATGTCTTTTGCTGCTACATTCATACTTTTCCCTCCTCCATGTTCTTCCAATTTTCTAATTATTTCCACACCTACAGCTACAGCTTTTGACTACTTTTACGAGTCCAGCCTGTGTTTCCACATTAAAAGAAAAAAAAAACTATTAAGCTATATTGTCATCATCAATAGGTACCCTTAAACCAATCAGAATTACAAGGCGTGCGTTTAATATTGGTGCATAATTTATCGGTGCAGAATCTTCCAGCTATATACCTTTCTAAATCAAGGCACATTGTCCCCTGGATGGATGTTTCTTGAACCTATACTTTGCATAGATCAACCCTAACCATTAGCATCCACTTCATCAATGGCAAGTACAAGCTCTCTCAGACCAGTTTCTTCCCTTAAACTATTCAATCTTGAATCACTTTCCAACATCGAATTCCATTATGACAAGCTTGCGTTTAAGCTTTCAAATCCACTTTTAACTAAATCTGTCCAGATCTCGACGACCCACCAAGCCTTCTCCGCCAGAAGACCCTCCAAAGATGCCTCAACAAAAGCATTCTTCTTCAACATCGGCAAACCAAAGCCAGAACCAAGTGAGTACTTCCTGTACCAATAAATCTTTTTTCGATTCGATGAGTTAGTTAGTATTTTGTCGTGAAACCATAGGAAAATGGTCCGTCAGATGCATTCTACTTTCTCCAAGCAAAAATGAATACGAGTTCTTGGAAATAAAAGATTTGCTAGGCATAGTTATATCGGTAATTTTGAGGTAGTCAGTGAAACTACTAGCTAAAATTAGTTGGATTTCATGATTCACGATGTATTATTGCTCATCACAAAATCATGTCTTTGTGATTCAGCTAAAGTTCAAGAACTATATGTGTATGAGATTAATGAAAGGGACAGGGGCAGCCCAGCATACTTGAGACTTAGCAAAAAGGACGCAAATTCTCTAGGTGATCTAGTTCCATTCAGCAATAAGCTCTACACAGGTGATTTGCAGAAGAGATTAGGCATAACATCAGGATTATGTGTGCTGATAAAACATGTTCCTGAGAAGAAAGGTGATCGTTATGAGGCTATCTACAGCTTCTATTTTGGTGACTACGGTCACATATCAGTCCAGGGGCCATATTTGACTTACGAGGACACACATCTGGCTGTGACCGCTGGATCAGGAGTATTCGAGGGGGTGCAGGGTGTGGTGAAGCTGCAGCAGATTGTGTTCCCATTTAAGCTGTTCTATACATTTTATTTAAAGGGAATTAAGGATTTGCCAGCTGAGTTGGTGGTTAAGCCAGTGTTGCCAACAGCTACTGCTGAACCATCAGCTGCTGCTAAGGCTACTGAGCCTCAGGCAACCATCCCTAACTTCACTGATTGATAGGGAGGTTGATCCAAGGAACTAGCCACAATTATTCAAGCATTAATTAGTTTGGCAGCAAGAGCTGTCCAATAAATGCTTGTACTGGTTTATCGTTTGTACTACTTAGAATGGTTTTTTTCTCTCCTACCAGCATCATTGACCATATGTCTCCCATCTTTATTGTCAGAATTGGATTTTGAAGAAATTACTGTCATATTTTTCTCTCCCTTATCATCTAGAAGAACAGCAAAACAGAAATTTGTTGACTTACCAAAAAAAAGTGGGGAAAACAAAAGAAAGAAGAAAGTCCATGAAGTAATAGGACAAAACTGGGAATAAAATGTGTATGTATAGCTGTGAGTTGAGTGCCTAACTCAAATGAAAACGAAGAAAAAGAGATAGAGAGGCCATGTTCGTAGATTCTATCATTCGATGAAATGTTCAAATGAAAACGAAGAAAAAGAGATAGAGAGGCCATGTTCGTAGATTCTATCATTCGATGAAATGTTTCTAAGTGAGGGTGTCTTGGTGGAGTTGTCCTTGCAATCCGCACATGCATGCATGAAAAAATAGAGAGAAATTTGCATTGGAACTATTCTTTTCCATCATGCCAGAAGGGCTTGTTAAAAGGAACAAGAGTATTGCTAGAAAACGATAATCAAAATAAAAACCCAGAACCCCTGACCACTTCTACATACAACTTGGGATCAATTCAGACTTAAATTGCAGCAAATAATCTAGATCTCCTTTTATTTTTTTTTTTAACTGGTCAAACTTGGGACAAGGAAGCCCGGCCACCACGTTGCTTCTTTGGTTAAGCTTCATAAAATGTTGGAGAAACGCCAGATATTTTTCTGTTTAAAGGTGATTACAGGCATCCCTTTTCCTTAGATGGGATTCCAACAACTATTCTTTTTGCTTGACAACTATTCAATCTAACCGTATAAAAAAGAATGAAACAGAAGAAGGAATTCTTGGACATGTTAGGCTACAGTGCTAAAGTTTCCTACAAGAGTAATTTCTTTTTTTCTTTTCTTTCTCCGATCAAAAACATTTCTCCTATTCATTACAATAAAATGTTCGCGTCTTGACAGCCCAAAGGGCCATATAATGCAGACTTTTTGTGTACTATACTGTAGTACATGCATCCCTGCAGCAAACCAAATAATTTGATTAGAACCATCATCTGAGAATTCTGATCAAATCTTGATCAGAAAAAAGTAAGTCTGAATTTATTGTCCAATAAGAAAACCTCACTCCAGAATTTGTCTGTGTGTTGAAGTTGACACACTTGCACACAAAAACAAGAAGAACAAATAAAATCAGAAGTACGGCAAATTGTCACGGCTGTTCTAACAAGCCAAGGAAACTAGTAAAAATTAGTGAACTTTAACAATGATAATGGACCAGTTTTATGCGGCCTAAGTCTCAAACCAGGGAGAAAAACGAATACCAATTACAGCTCAAAAATGGGTAAAAATGAAAGAACAGGAAACAGAAAGTTGAATGTATCAAAAAAGTAGAGCGATAATACTGATAAGACGGTGAAACTGTTGAAAAGTAAGGCATGCAGTGCAGGATATGGACCTCATCCTTGACATATACATCTGAGAGAGCAGCCATATAGTATCAGAGTGCATATGAGCCCATGCAACCACATTATTAAACTTAAAGAAGGCAAAAACAGGGCTCTGGCAACATATTACGAAATATCTGTTTGTTTCGTCCCAAAAGGTAGAAAGTTAATACTTTGGGTGAAACCCCAAAAAGAAAAACTTCCAGTGGTCCATTGTTACCTTCTGACAAAAGCCTCTATCAAAGTGTTAGTAGTGCTAGTCCAAGCTCAGCCCTCCTCAGGCCCTCAGACCAAAAGCCTCAGAAAAAACTCAGACTCAGTCTCTACTCTCCTGTCAGACTCTGAAGGCCCAAAAAAATAAAGTGGGGAAAAAAAGAAAAGAACCAAACTTTAATCAGATAATCGAACTGGCACTTCGAACATTAATGCCATGCAACTGTGCCTTTCATTATACTGTTTGTCCTCATCTTTTTCTCTCCCTTTTATTTCTCTCTTTCTCTTCTCTCAAGTCCCTCAAACACATAGATGATAGATCCGCAGACACATTCAGAAGCATAGAGCCAAATAGTCACTATTCAGACTTCAGCAGCCTACCACCACTACTACAACTAAAGGTTCACATGTAATAAATGGATGTACATTGGCAGAATCATATCCGACATTTCTATTCTATTCTTCACACATTAATCACTTCTTGATCTTTTTGATCAATACCACTTTGTCCCTTTTCAGTATTAGATCGAGTTTTGCACAGTTTGCACCCTCCTAAACTTCTCTTTGTGACCATTGAATACTCAAATCAACAACGCTAGTGTATTATGTACGTTAAGGTAGGTTTTTTAATCCTTTAACACTAATCTATTACTGAGTGTACAATTTGTTTTGAAAAACTAGGAAAAAATCCTATCATAAATTGGTCAAAATTGACAAGAGCCAATGTGCAATTTATTATTACCTACTACAAACGTGCAAATCATGTACGAAAACTGGTCAATTGACAACAAACATAAGTTAGTAGAATACTAATGTTTAGGGTACAAACTAACAAAACCCCCAATACTTTTCGAGGGTACAAAGTCTATCTAGCCCTACTTAGTAGTTGTCCTCTTCTTCTTCATCATCTTCTTCTAATTCTACTAATTCTTCAATTCCACGCAAGTCTTGACTATGTGCTGCATGGCCATCTCCAAAAGCTCTAATATGGTCTTTGAGTGATCTTTTATGCTTAAAATCAGAACCACAAATACAAAACCATAACTTCCCACAATTCTTTTCATGAGTCCTCCAGTCTCCTCTAACCGCAAATGGCTTCCCACATTTTCTGCACTGAAATGGCTTTGTCCCATGCTTTCTCTTGTAGTGTGTTTGAAGAGTCCTAAAATCCTTCAAGGGCCTTGATCTTGGATGATCTATGTTGTTCTTGCAACCCTCAGCACAACAGTAACAGGGAAGTTTAAGCATGGATGAGGCTGGCTTTGTCCCTCTTAAAGATTCTGGCCCTTTTCTGTATTGTGATCCATGCCCCCACATATGCATCTACAGAAGGATCATGAGGATAGAAAAGTTATGCAAGAGATTGATCTAAGCCCACATAAAATAATAATCATCAGCCACAAAAATCTCTAAACAAGTCTACATACTAGTGTAGCAACCAACTAGTTGCAAGTTGCAACACTATTGTTTACTGAAGGTTTTGTTTATTTTTGCATGCAAGGAGTTAAGGGGAAAGAAGAACATTGATAGGATCTGATTATAACTGAAAATGAATTACATAGAAGTTCCATAACCTGCATATTGTTGTATCTGTTAAATGTTTTGTTGCATACAGGACAAGAAAACTGAGTGGGGCCAACAAGAATTTGAGCTGGAGTAGGAATCCAGTATTGTCCTTCAGGAAGAACCCCAAAGTTATGAGCATGACTAGTAGAGCTAGCTTCTGAAGTAGGCAGACCAATATGAAGTGCCACTGTTACACCATTTTCAGCATTAGTCCTAGGGCATTGTTGATAGTTATCCTGAGGTAGTTGGCTTGAGGAGTACTCAAAACTACAGTCCAGAAGATTCTTTGAGGTGTTGTTTTGGCCTGGAGGAGCAAGAGAAAGAAGAGTTAAAGAATCATCATCTTGATCATCAGCCTCCAAACTGCCAATCTCATCAGTCTCACCTGATGAAATGTTTGAACAACAATGAATTCTTTGCATGGAGATAAGCTATTGGGTATGAACTTATAGAAGTCGTCGGAAGGCATGTCCATAACCCAACGTCACAAAACTTATGGGGCTGAACCAAAAAGAAAACAAAAGTATTTTGTCCTTGGCCCCCTCTATCTAGCCATGTCAAGAAACAGACGGATTGAGGATGGGTCTATCTTTGATCTTATCTACATATCAATGTGTTACGTCAGTGCCAGCCCATTTTCAAGAATCACACCTCGAATATTCAAACTCTCTTCCCCACAACCACTCTCCTTGCCCAGGCCCCTTCAGCCTTCTCTCTCACGCACATTTCCTTAAATATTCATCATCAAAGATTCGTTTCGTACGCGACGCCCCGACCTCGGCACCACGCACTCGTTCTTTTCTTGATTTCTACTATGTCCGGAAAACAAAATATAAACTAAAAACCACAAAAAAAAAAAAAAAATCCCTCAAAATACCTAACTCTCTTTCCATTCCTTCCATTGTAAACCATGTACTGAAAACCTTTCTTTCTTTCTTTCTTTTTCATTTTTTTTTTCTGGTGAACCAAGTTTATTCAATTGTAGGATTCTACCTAGATCCCTTTATTCCTGTTTTACATCCGGATCTGTCTATGCTTTGTGACAAACCAAACCTCCACCATTTAAATCCTCTCACTTCTCCTTCTCCTCTAGCAAACCTGGTCCCTCCTTACAAAAAGGTTACACTTCTACGAAGTCAATCATCTATACACAAACCAAAAACAAAAGAAGCACTACTTACTTGCAACCGAGCAACAAGGAAAATAGCAAAGCATCATGAATGGTATGATCAACTATCATAATAATAACCATCATGATAGTAGTAATTACGATGAGAAAATGCAGAGAACTCAAGAGTATATTGATTCTTTGGAAGAAGAAAGAAGAAAGATTCTTGTCTTCCAGCGTGAGCTTCCCCTTTGTCTAGAGCTTGTCACTCAAGGTATCTTTTTTCTGAATTAAGTTTTGGTTATTTCGATATGTTGAAATTCATTTCTTGACGGATTTTTGACATTAGTTTTTGTGGGTTTTCTTTTTATTTCTTGTGGGGTTTGCAGCTATTGAAACATGCAAACAACAGTTGTCATCAGGAACAACAGTAACTGAGTACAATTTTCACGGGCAATCTGAATGCTCTGAGCAGACATCAACTGATGGGCCAGTTTTGGAAGAATTTATTCCTATAAAAAGAGCTTTATCATCTGATGATGATGAGCAACAATCCCGCAAGCCGAAAAAGAGTAATATTAGTAATGGTAATGATAAGGATAACAAGAGTAATAATAATGACAAAGCTGCATCATCCAAGAAGTCTGACTGGCTTAGATCTGTCCAGTTATGGAATCAGACCCCAGATCCACCTCAAAAAGAGGTAAACTTTTTTTTTTCTTTCTTCAGAATTGTCAAATTTGATGTATTTTAGCGTCTGGGATTTTGTCAATTTTGATAAAGGTTCAATCCTTCTGCTGTTTTTTGGGTTTTAGGATTCACCTAAAAAGGTGTCAGTTGTGGAGGTGAAGAGAAATGGAAGCAGTGGTGGAGCTTTTCATCCATTTAAGAAAGAAAAGAGTATTGGTGCCAATGCTGGTAAATTAGATGTTCCTAAAAGTGGTGATAAGACATCTATCCCCGCGGCCGAAGCTAGCTCCACGGAGGAGACAGGTGGCACTAGTGGTGGTGGTGGTGGTGGAAATGGAGGAAGTAAGAAGGAAGAGAAAGAAGGACAATCTCAAAGAAAATCAAGAAGGTGTTGGTCACCTGAATTACACAAGAGGTTCTTGTTAGCCCTTCAACAACTTGGTGGCGCGCATGGTATGAGTCAGTCAAATGAGACTTTAATGATGTGAACATTTTAATTGGATTAAAATTTATTTGATCGCATACTAATGGCATTGTTTTCATTGAATTTTGGCAGTTGCCACCCCTAAACAAATTAGGGAATTAATGAAGGTAGATGGGCTCACCAATGACGAAGTTAAAAGTCATTTACAGGTTTGTTCTTTTAACCTTTCTGTTTCCTTCCATTATTTCCCTCATCATTTTTTGCAAATTCTTTTCCCCAGGTAGTTTTGAATACAAAATAAATAGTAAAATTGAAGTGTTTAGGCACAGGAATCTTTTGTTCTAGTGGTAAATGTACCTGTTTTAATTATTTGGATGGGATATTGGCGAAAGTTACATCAAGGGAGCCGTTAGAATCGTACTTTTTCGTGCCTCCTAGTTTCCTTGTGCTTTAGAACCTTTAAATTATGCTGGATACCAAAGTAGTACAATTTCACGGGGAAAATTCATATCTGCTGCATAAGCCAATATTATACCGTCTTATCTATAAGAAATTTGTGGATTTTGGGAGGAGCATCTCAAGACTAATGCTCGATTTTGTTAGTGGAGCATCCTGCTTTACGATTTCAAATTGATTGAAATTGAAGGAGGACATCACATCATTGATGTTTAAGGTTCCCTCGTAGTAGTGTTATGGAGGAATCCATAGCTAAGTATTTGGGATGTGGCTGGCTTTATCTTATAGTTTCCTAGCCCATATCTTTGAACATCTTATGGCAAAAGAATATATTATTTTCTTTTTAGTGGGGAAGAGTTAGATCCTTTTCCTTTCAGTGCAGCCCCCTACGTGCTTAAAACCTAAAAAGTAAAAAGTGAGATGTTCCAGTAAGTGTTGCTAGTTACTACTACTATTACCGTCTTGATCTCAAGACGCGGCCTAATTCTTTCTCATCAATCATTTCAGAAATATCGTTTGCATAATAGAAGGCCCAGTCCATCCATTCACAGCAATAACAATCCACAAGCACCACAGTTTGTTGTGGTGGGGGGAATATGGGTGCCACCACCAGAATATGCTGCCATGGCTGCAACCACTGGCTCTGGGGAAGCATCTGGAGGTGCCAATTCTAATGGAATCTATGCTCCAATTCCTACATTACCTCCTCCCTTTCATGATCCCTCGGCATCTTTAAAGCAAAAGCAGCGACATAAGCAGTTACACTCTGATGACCGCGGCAGCAATAGTGGCGGTGGGGGGCATTCCAATTCCCACTCCACCTCCTCCTCTACTGACACCGCCACTACTTCGCCAAACTACTGATCTTCTTGGTGTGCAAAATTTTGTAGCATGTTCCTTCTTGTAATGTGCTGATATAACGAGTTAGGAGAAATATAGAGTGGTTTTGAGTCATGTTTCTGCTTTAATTTCGCACATTGTCATGTTTCTTTTCATCTTCAAGTGAAAATCTTGAATGCCTTTGCGAGCGACAGTAATAATGGACGAGTACAAATATGGCTCTCGAGCAGACTCAAACAAAATTACCCGTTTGGGAAATTCAATCTGGACTACTCTCGAGCCTCTCTCTCTCTCTCCCTCCCTTCTTCCTTCTCCTTGCAAGGCTCAAAATCTCTCTTTGGTTTGAACTTTGAACCAAAAAAGAGAGCACGGTGCGAGGAGACGAAACTTTGCCCTTTCCTTAGTTGGAAAGACATTCGCTCCAACATTTTTAGGCTATCTTCTGCTTCAAATCAGTTCATAGATTTGGCTGTAGACATGGTTCACAAAATGATGATTGGTAATGCAACTAGCTAGCAAATTATTAACTGTCGCCAACTGGAAGAAATATTATTATACTAGTACTCAAACCAATAAAAGATTTTACAGTTTTCAAGTGCATTGACAAGCCCAAGGACATTTTCTTTGCAAGAAAGAAATTGGAAAGAGGTGGCACTAGCCAAATGTATCATTGCAAACTAGAGATAATGTTAGGTAAGTATCGTGGTCAATACTCAATACTGCTCAGTGCTCATCAACATCTGTTATGATTCCAGCTTCCATATCTTCACGAGACGCTTCTTCTTTATCACCCCGTTGAATAAGTTAACCGCTTAATTACAAAAGGAGAAGGCTATACAATGCCAAAGCAGAATTTTAAAGCATTTTTACGCATTATCTTGTTGGCTCAAATAAAGACGAAATTGCTGGGAACGTGAAGTGATGAGACATGAACTGGTTTCTCGTTTTCTTACCATTGTTACAGATGATAGATCAAAAATATGAAAGAAAGAATGTGAAATCATTCCAATTTAAAGATATCCAAGTTAACGTACGAGGGATGAATGAAAAACGACGGATTTCTGTTCACTACTTTGGGCGAAGTTTGATCTGATGGATTGGATTGCTATTCCCTAGCTCTCTCGTTGATAATCAATCATCAAGTGTAATTACATGAGTTTGCACGGACTATATATTATTATTATTTTTTTAGCAGAGAGGGTGAGATTTAAAGAATGAAACGACAAGAGGATTTGAATACCACTCACTTGCCAGGAAAATTTTCCCTTTTTTTTTTCCAGAAGATTTGTCGGAAAAAGAACAAGGAGCAAATACTAATGTGTACATTCCTTGAGCCTACTGCTACATGTAGAAATGTCAACCACTGTAGTCATGCCCACCACTAGCTATACGAGCGTATATGCGTATGCATGCATGTAAAACGGGATGCTTCTTTAAGAATTGAAATGGAAAAGTCTTCGAGCTTTGCTCAATTTTGGATGGCTGACTTGAACTATGATTCGTGTGCGAACAAGTCTCAATTGCTCCCAAGAAAATTCCTTCAATTAGAATCGCATATGAATTCCTATGAAATGCTTAAAGGACTTTTAGCCATCCTCCGCTCAATTATATATCAAGATTAACTGTACTTTACCAGCAAGAATCTAGTAGTTTCCATTAGGAATCACACAACCCCTACGGTTGCAATTCAATCGAGCAGCTTAGACTCGAATTCGCGAGTAGCTCGGTCAACTACTTGACTCGAATTTGATCAATGCCGAGTTAGAGTCGAGCTCGAGCTATTTGATTGAGGTTTTGAGTCGAGTTCGAATATGTATACCATATACCGGAGAAACTCGTTAAACTCTATCGAGTACTCGGTGCAATATTTAATTAATATATTATAAATAATAAAATTACTTTTTTAAGTTGATTATTTGCAATATTTAA